AAAAAGTATTGCTGAGCGTTTGCGATTCTTGATGGAACGAACGCGTCGGGTTCGGTCACATCGGTCACAGGACTGACGGGAATCCGGCCTTTGGGCTGTGAACATCCCAGCCTCTCTCCCGTTTTCATCGGCGTTTGTTTGAACCGGGAGAATTATTCCCGCGTTGTGCCAACTCTCGCAAATAAGGCGGCGGCTGCTCCCCGCCAGCGTCTACGCCACCCGGCACAAACGGCCTTTTACTGTGGTGTGTCCCCCTGGACTCCAGAGAGGATGACCGTGGTCCACTCTCCCACCTCAGTGGTGGCCGGAGTTGAACCCGCCGAGGGGTTTTCTCCGGTGGTGTCCAGCTCATGCCTCTCCCTAGTGTGTCCTTTGCAGTTTCATCTCAGCTGTTAGGATGACTTAAGAGCCCCCAGCCCTGTGCCAAAGCCCAGTGTCGGTGTCGGGGGGCATCTCTCCGTGTCTGAAGGGGAGGAACGTTTCGTCTCCCCCCTTCCTGTCGGTTCCTCTGCCCTCTGCCTTCCTGACCCTCAGACTCGAACCCTCTAAGACCCCCCCCCCCGCAGGCAGCGTGGGCGGGAGAGCCCTGGAGCCCGGGTGCGGGACGCGCTCGCGGAGGGAGATGTGGGGAAGGGGCTCCGCTGTCCCCTGAGGAGTTACAAGCTTGCAGATGCCCAGAGCTCCTCTGCGCCGGGACATCTCCCCCGGGGGCTCCTTCAGGGACCAGAGAGAGGATCCCCGTGGACACCGTTTGTGCTTGAAGGATTCGGAGCCCCATCGGCCTCAGGAAAGATGCGTGGGGTTTTCAGCCGTGGCGTTTGGGGGCGTCTTGGTGGCCTGGTGCCCGTCACCCGTGCTCGGGGGCCTTCTGAACGGGGGAGGGAGTGTTCTAAGGGAATGTGGGGGTGGACGCCGCCTAGTTCCTGGATCTCTGAGGCCTTTGAAAAGCAGCCTGACCTGCGGGGAAGCCTAAACCGAATCGGGTGTCCCAGGGCTCTGTGCTTGATTCCGTTTTTATTATAGAGACTCGAGGATTTTCAGGTCAGAAATGAAATCATGCTGCGGAAGACGGTGCCAGCGGGCATCTGCTGGGCCCTGCATCTGCCAGTCGTCACGAATTGTGTACCGACCCGTGTGCGTGCGGCTCTTTCCGGCTGCCTCCAAACGGACCTGATGTAATCAGCGACGCGCTTCCTTCCTGGCTCAGCCGCCCGCCCCGGTGGGGCCGCGGCCCGGCCCGCGTGGACGCGCGCGGTCACCCCCATCGTGGTTCTCACTTATATTTTGGGATCCTGAGTGCTTTAAACTAAAAATAAATGTTCGCTCCTTCACTTTTCTGTTGCTAAAACGAATTTTTAACAAGTCCTTGTGATATTTAGGTTTCAAATAAGCGTCTCAGTCCTGAGATTGTACGTTGTTTTTAAATCGCACCTCCAATTTCAGGTTCCCTTTCTGACCCTCGTGTGTAATTTCCCGGGGTTGGTCTGCACCCTGTATTTGTGGTCGCCGGAGCCCCGGGGGACGGAGCGGGAGGGGAGGCGGTGAAGTCACTGTAGCTGTGGCCCGTTGGTAATTCGGGAGGAGAAATGAGTCCAGGGCTCCGCTGGGGCAGGGCCGTTCCTGGTATTTAGGAATTAGCTGATTACCCCGGGGTCCCCGGTGGGTACGAGGAGCTTATTAAGCAGTTGGGGTTTGGGGACATGTCCCCCCTCCCCAGGCCGCCTTGTGCTTCTGTTCTTTGGCCCACAGAGGTTTTTCCAGCAGGAGCGCGTGCCTTTCAGATTGGGGCGCATGGTTTTGTGCAGTCCAAGGAGGGCCTGGCATCTCCTGGTTACATTTGCGGTTCTGCCTCTGGACGTTTTGGAAAACAGACCAAGAGCCGAGTCCCTCAATTAGTGTCATTAGCAAGCAGAGAGCGAAGGGAATTTGTAGTCGGGATGGATTTTAGGAAAGTCTGTCTCCAGGCTGCCTTTGGCCGGTCGTCTTTTCCTCGCTTTGCTCAGCCCTCGCCGCCCCAGGTGGTCTGAGGTCGGCCCTCTCCTCAGTCAGTGTCGGCCTGTGGTCACACTCCGGGGGGTCCAGAGTCCTGTCCTTGTTGTTGAGAGGTGGCCCTGGAAGGGGAGGTTCAGAACAAGCAGCTCGTGTGTCGAGAGACGAGGTTTCCTCCGAAATCGGCCATGAATCCCCCGACTCTGTCTTTGGAAAGACCAGGAGGGGCTTGGGGACGTCTGGGGGCCGGCACTGAAGCTGCTTTCCTGAGACCCCTCGAGGATTCCAGGCTGTGTGTCCTCCAGAGGGTCCCGTCCGTTTCAGAGCCAAGCCGGGTGCAGGCGACCTGCTGGGATTCAGGGGCGCAGCGAGGGGCCAGCAGGGCGGCGCAGCTTCCGAGCCCAGGCTCCTGTCGCTGACGTGCGGGTGGTGCGTGGATGGCGGCTCTCGGCCGCATTTCCGAGAAGCCGGAGCCCGTCTCCGGGGAGGCTGCGTTGCCCACGCCCTGCCATCAGCAGCCCCGCTTGGTGGCTCGCCCTGGTCCCCAGCAGGAGGCAGATTGCAGGGGTGCCTGGGCCTCCACACCTGTCTGAGGCTGGAAAAGAGGTGGAATGGGGGGGGACGGGGGCTACCTGGAGGCGGGGGAGGTCTCTCCGGTGCTGCTTGTCCCCCCTGCTTCAGAGCCAGCATTCAGATTCCCTTAAAAAGTCCAAGGTCAAGCCCAGCTGGTGTGACTCAGTGGTTGAGTGTGGACCCAGGAACCAAGAGGTCGTTGGTTCGATTCCCGGTCAGGGCACATGCCCGGGTCTCGGGCTCGATCCCCAGTAGGGGGTGTGCAGCGGGCAGCCGATCGATGTGTCTGTCTCCCCCTCTTCCTTCCTCTTTCTCTAAAATCAACAAAAAGCATTTTAAGAAAAAGTCCAAAGTCAAGCCCACCACTCGGACGTAAGAGCAGGAGTTTACGGGGTGCTGGGTAGTGTGGCCACAGCGCCTGGCCCTGCTCAGGTGAGCCGTGCGCCGGGCAGAGCCCGAGCCCTGGCCGGTGGCGCCGAGCAGGCACCCATGTCCACTGGGCCGCCGTCACCCTCGTCACTCTCGCCCTCTCCTCCTCGCCGGGCAGCACGGGAACTGGTTACACCCCGGCGCCGGTCCCCAGCGGCTGTCTCCTAGGTGGCGGGTGTGTAAACGTGGTCACTGCTTGGCGATCCGTTGCCCAGGACCGAGGCAGGGGCAGAATGCTGTGTTGTAAATACAGTGACGTCTCAGTGACCTCCCTGGCTTGGGACGGCCGAGGCTGGCGGACTTCACGCCGGGCACCCCAGGGTGAGTGGGGGAGGCAGCGCCCATGTACTTCTATTTAATTAGATAGTTGGAAAGACTATTAAAATGAAAGTTGATTATTGAAAAATTCAGCTAAGCAAGAGCCGACAGACAAACACTGCTACAGACGCCGTGAAGGGACGGCCCGGATCCGGGGAATTTCACATCCTCTGCTGCTCAGCAGCAGTTGTGGGCACCCAGGCTCCTCGCCCTCTGCTCATGTCCGCTGGCAGCTTCTTGGCTCAGCCGCAGGACCGCGTGTGCTGGTCACAGGGCGTTTCACACGTGGGGACTTTATCTGTCTTAGGGCAGGGTTAGGTTAGGAAGGATTTCTGTAGCATCCACGCGCAGTTATTTAAACTCTTTTAAGGACCAAAATACTACTACTACTAATAATAATACACCACGAGTATGCGTTGTGGCCTGTACCAGTGTGCTAGGTTTTCCTAAACTTCAGATATTTTGGTCATCGACTTGGAATAACGAGAGCTAAGGATCCCTGTGGAATACCCCCCCCGCCCCCGTCCCCAGGGCTCAGTGACTTTGGTTTTCTGCCTCTCTGAGTGCCCACCCCTGTGTCCCAGCCCCATCCCTGTGAATCTTTTTTGACCATTGCTGCAGGGTCCAGTTTTTCCTCTGACCGTCTTCAGATTTCTGTTCCGAAGAAGCTCCTAGTTGAGGTTTTCATTCTTGAAAAAAGTTTTTGTGTGTTTTTTTAAAATATATCTTTATTGATTTCAGAGAGAGGAAGGGAGAGAGAGAGAGAGACATCAGTGATGCGAGAGTCATTGATGGGCTGCCTCCTGCACAGCCCTGACTGGGGATCGAGCCCACAACCCGGGCATGTGCCCTGACCGGTATTCGAACCCCAATCACCTGGATCCTAGGTCGATGCTCAACCGCTGAGCCACGCCCGGCCAGGCTGAAAAAAGTTTCTTAGTAGATCATGCCTCCTGCTCGTGGGATTCCTTGAGAATTTCTTTTTAATATTATGATTTCGATTTGAATAATGAAATGTAATTGGAAGTGGTGCCGTGTTAACGGTAAGAGACGGTTAAGTGTCTTCTAGGCTCTCAGGATCACCCAGGGCTCCGGGCGGCCTGGGCCTCGCTGGCCCGCAGTGAACACAGCTAAGGAGCTGCGGGCAGTCGCTGTGTCTACTGTTAAGATCGAATCCAGCAGCATTTAAGCGAGTGCCTGGGAGAGCATCTTCTTAGCACTCTGCTCACCTCAGTGGGGACAGGGGGGACCCTCGATCGCCACTTTCATGAACATCTTGCCTTCTGAGCTGCAGGTGCTCCTCTGCCCACTGCTCTCCAGTTGGCCAGGCGCCTGGCTCCCCGAGAGCCCAGCGTGGGTCTCTGAGCACTAATCTCCCCTCTCCTTCAGCTAATGCTGCGGGTTCTCGGGAGTCTTGTATCTTCCCCAGCTGCTGGGGCCTCCTGTCCCCTCCTAGCCCAGCGGCCAGCTTCCTCCCCCGATGGGCCCCTTTCCACCCCAGCGCCGGCCAGCCTCCCTCCGTCTTCGCAGGTCCAGGAGTCGGCTCTGTGGCGTGGCCGCCCACCCGCTTCTGTGTCCCCGTGGACCGCGTTGGCCTTGCTTCCTCCGAGCGCGTTTCCTGTCCTTCCTTGCCGGACCCCACGGGCTGCCGGCCCTGCCGTTGGCCTCCGTGTCCATTTCACTCGAATCTCATGGGTCCCTTTGAAACCCCCGGCGTTTCTCGACTCTTAGGCATTTTGGGAGCCACTTTCCTTCCTTGTGGATGTAACATAGGGCGATGAGATTTCTGAATTCGTGGAAAATACGTGGAGAGTGAACCCCGTTGGAAGCAGAGGTGTTTGCTGTCAGCGCAGTGGGGCCAGAGCGGCTGCCACTCTGTGTTCATAGCACACGGTGTGGGTGTGTCGTGGGGTCTCAGCGACGAGAAGTGGCCCGTGTGGGGTGTGGGAGGTCAAGTCGTTGCCGTCATCTGTGTTGAGCGGGCCCCGGGCAGGATGGGGCCAGTGGGGCTGGGCAGGAGCCGGGAGATGAGGGGAGGGGATGTCTCAGTCCCTTGAGTCATGGGCAGGGTGGGCCTTAGGTTTAGGGGCAGAGCCCAGGCTTAGAATTGGAACTGGGTGTGGGCTCAGGGGGTCACAGTTTCTCTGGGTTGGGGGTGCCCTCGGGGCTCGGTCTGCACAGTGGGAGGGGTCAGACCTGGCGCATCAGGGCGTTTTGACCTTGCCTTCAGCCGTGTGTCTCACTCTGTGTCCCCTCCTGTTTTACAGATGCCTTTGTGAACAGCCAGGAATGGACGTTAAGTCGGTCGGTCCCAGAGCTCAAAGTGGTGAGTGCTCCCCTGCCTTAGTGGTTATCTGTGCTCACCTGCGGGAAGGGGGCTCTGTGAGCACACCCAGGCCTGCACCCCGAGGGCTCTGTGCGTCCCTGGGACCCAGAGGAGGGGCTGGCCTCTGGGCCTGTCCCTGGGTGTGCAGCTGGCGGTTTGGGGCTGGAGCCCTGAGTGTGCCTGTGAGGCCGAGATGGACGGCCAGCCAGAGCGGCCCTGTGCGCACAGGGCGGGTCCATCCATCGTCTGCTCTTGTTTGTGTGTCTCTGTCTCTCTGTCTTTGTCTGTCTGCCTGTCTGTCTCTCTCTCGGCTTTATTTATTCTCTGCCGGATGCCGAGGAAAGTTTCTATAACGATTCGTCAAGCTTTGGAATTCATCATTAAAACAATGTGACTGTTCCTGCATTACAAAGTGGTGGCATCAAATTAGAAGAATTTTGTTTTTATTACAAACTTCATTCTTTCAGTGAGATTATTTAAAGCTTAAAATTGGCTTATGAGAAATGATCTGGGTCTCTGCAGCCACATCTTTGAGCCCCGGCCCCCTGCATGGCGTATGTATATGTGTGTGCTTGTGTGTATCTATGTACGTGTATATATGTACACCATGTGTATGTGTGTGTGCATACATGTGTGTATCCGTGTACATGTGCACACACATCTGTATGTGTATATGTATGTACATGTACTGTGTGCATGTTCATGCGTATCTGTAAGTAGATATGTGTGTAGTGTGTGCATATGTGTATTCATGTGCATGTGTGCATATGCGTATCTGTATATGTACTGTGCGTGTATGTTTGTACATGTGTGTGCATGCATGTATCCATGTACGTATGCACACGTGTATCTGTGTGTGTGTGTAGATGTCTGTGTAGATGTCCGTGCGTGTGTATATATATTTAATCCTCGGCAGCGATGGGCTCTGACAGTAAAAGGACAGCGGACGCTCTTTCCGTTCAGCCCACACTGAGGAGGCTCGGCTCCGACTGGGCCCGCTCAGTCCTCCCAGGTCCCCATCTGTTAGTAGCTCCAGCCTGTCTGCCCAGTGACCCTGGTGACCCCCAGAGGCCCTTGCACACCTTCCCCTGTTTGGACATGGGGTGGGGGTGGGACCCTTAGGCTTCTCAGTTCCGAGATGATGCCATGAGGACCGCCCAGAGTTTGAAGAGAGCGTATGTCACCCGACTTGTCATCAGGAGAACAAGGACATGTGGGGAGGCACCCTGGTCACTGAGCCCTGCTGTCCCCACTGCCATGGCTGGTGGTGTCACCGGGCACTTGCCAGTGGGCGTCTTCCCTTGTGGGAGACGGGCCCACGAGTCCCGTCCCGTTTTGGAAGCCGGGTTCCACAGAAACAGCCTGGGTCAGCCACCCCCTCCTGCCCGTGTTCTGTGACCACTGCACCTGCCCAACCAGGAAACACCTGCCAGACGAATGCCACACAGGTGGCAGTGTGGTCACCAGGAGCTTTTCAGAAAGACTGGCCAGTTTCACATACGCCCCCGTGAGGCCAGAGAGCTGCCAGGGTCCTGCATTGGAGTAAAACGCGGGACGGAGTCTCGATGACACGTGACTGCGCTTATTAAGCCCCTGCTCCGTGGGACGTCTTGAATGCTTCATTTAACCCTGACGGCCCCATTCCACAAAAGGGGGAACTGAGGCTGGGAGGCGTTAGAACTTGCCCGAGGAGACAGTTCATAAGGCCGGGGCTGGGGGGTGAGCTGGGAGCTGGAGCTTGTCTGTCAGCCTGGCCAGGAGAACTTCCTGCCCCGAGGACACCTCCGTCTCCACCGTCCAGCGCGGTGGCCCCTGGCCCCAGGTGACTGCGGAGCACTTCAGGCGTGGCTGGTGCAACTGAGGGGCTGAATTTTTAATATTTATTTAATTTAAAAAATATGTTTTTATCGATTTTAGAGACAGAGGAAGGGATATAGAAACATCGATGAGAATCATTGATCGGCTGCCTCTTGCACGCCCCTACTGGGGATCGAGCCTGGAACCTGGGCATGTGTCCTGACCAAGAATTGAACTGGCGACCTCTCGGTGCACAGGACAGTGCTCAGCCAACTGAGCCACATCGGCCAGGGCTTAAAGTTGTATTTGTTTAATTTGAATTGGAATGGCCCCCTGAGGCCAGTGGCCACCTGGTGACAGTGTTACGGACTGACCGTGCGCACCGAGCATTGAACCCCCTAACGTAGGCCGGTTCTGATAGTTAAAAGATGTTGAAAGTTCTGCCAGAGCCCAGATGCCCAGAGCAGCCCGTAGCGAGGTTGCTCGCGACCAGAGACGTGTTTTCCGCCAGTATTTGAGCAGCCAGTGTGCAGTTGTCTGAAATAAATGGCCGGCGGTGCATTAAGGGGCAGCGTGGGCTCCAGAAGTCCCCCAGAAATAACTCCCTGCAGGTTGGCTGGACTCCACCGTGGGTGGAGAAATGTGAGTGACCCGCAGGTCCCCAGGAGGAAGTTCTCCGGCCCCTGAGCTGCGTGGCCGCCCTGCCCCGCCGGCGCCCCCTGGTGGAGGCAGCGGCCAGCTCGGCCTCCTTGGCCCGTCCGTCTGCGCTGAGGCGTTTCGAGTCCACAGAAAGTGCCCTTCTGTTCGGGGGCGGCCTCTGTGTGTCCACAGGGCTGCCATTGTCTCCTGCCCTCGTCCAGCACCCCGAGACAGGTGGCCTTAGGGCAGCGCCTTCGGGGCCCCTGACTCTGTTTCACAAACACAATTAAGCGACACAATAGGGAGCCTCAGGCCGACTCTTTATGTAACGTTTCACAATCCACCTCTTGGATCCTGTTGGAGAAAACACCCCAGTGTTTGCTTTCTTTACAAGAGCAGTGGCGCCATGCCTTGTGTGTCCCGAAGTTGTGTTAGGGTTAGATGATCCGTGACCGCTGCTTTTGGTGCCACCGTGGATCCGAACTCCGGTCCCTGTGCCAGGTGCACGCTTGCTGCTTGTGTCTGGCAGGAAGCGTGAGGACACCGTGGCAGTCCCGCCTGGAGAGCGGTATGTTCCGTGGCCACCTGTCGGCCCGATTTCTGTGTTTCCGGTTGAATTCCCACCTGGGATTTTTACTAACAGCCTTGATTTCCCTTTTAGCAAACCACGCGTTCAGCAGGGGAGGGGTGGAATCTGGGACGCAGGGAGATCTTTTCCTCTCTGGAGGGGGCAGCTGGAGGCTTGTGGCACCCGCCCGAGGACGAGGGACCCGTAGGATGAGGGGCCGGTGGTGGTGGCCTTGGCCACCTGTCCTTGACGGGACCCTGGCCCGCCTGCCTCGTTGCCCCCGGGGGGCCTGCAGACCCGGCCGCACCCACTGCCTTCTCCCGTCTGTACAGCGGCAGCCACGGGGCCAGCAGAGCTTTGCAGTGAACGCTTTCCGTTTGTTCCTTTGGCCGTCTGCACAGTTGGTTCCGCCTGTGGTTCAGGTCAGGACGATGCCCGTGTGCGCGAGTGTAAGGAGGCCTGTGACCGGGCCATTCAGACCCGCCGAGACCCTCCCGCGCGCCCCCAGGACTGCCTGGCTGGCTTCTGAGAGGGGTGGGGAACCTTTTTCCGGCCATTTGGATATTTATAACGTCATTCTCAGGCCATACAAAATTATCAACTTAAAAATTAGCCTGCTCTGAAATCAGTAAAGATATATATATATTTTTAAAAAGCCTGCTCTATTTGGTGAAACATTTAATGAACTCACCCCTAATGTGACGGCTGGAGCTGCTTCTCTTCGGTGAGGCCTCGGCAGGGCCCGGCCAAAGGATTCTTTGGGCCATGCATGGCCTGTGGCCGGACGTGCCCCCCCGTCCTGAGTGGTCAGCCGGTCCTTTCCACGCCATGGCTCGTAGGGAGGAAGGCAGAGCGGTTGCCACTCACGGGAGACACGGGCTGCCGAGAGACCGATTCCGAGTGTTCTCCTCGGGAGAGAGGAACTCTAATCTTAATTAAAAATTTAATTCTGTGGCACGCTGTTTTGGATTTTCTCAGCGTGAAGCTGACAAACAGCAGGTGCCCTGGAGCGAAAGAATAATTAATAGGTAGAACCTCTCGGATTATCAAGGCCGCAGGTAAAGGGAGACCTGCGTCAAAGCGGGAGGGGAGACAGCTTCATTTAGGATCTGCCTGCGGAGCCTGGTCCAGCCATGGCCGTTTATACTCGCTGGCACTGGGTCACTCATTCAGCCAGTGTCCCGGGAGCTTGCCTTGGGCTGGGTGCAGTGCCGGGGCACAGAGACCCCAGGAACAAAGGGGACGCGGCCCCCGCCCTCAGGGACTTGTCAGCCCTGGAGGGTCGGACCCGTACTGATGCTGGTGAAAAGGAAAATCCCAAGAAGCACCGAGAGGAGGGCACCAAGGAGCATGGAGCAGCCGCACTCCCCCGAGGCTGTGGCGTCAGGAAGGCTTCCCGAGGAGGGGGCGTCTGGGCTGCTTGCGGACCCATGAGCAGGAGGGGTATTTCGGGCAGTGGTCGATGTGGGAAGGCCTAGCGTTTGGAGACGGCAGGGCCTGTTAGGGTGCCGTGTGGGGGCTGGGAGGGTGGGAGGCTGGAGGGCAGGCAGGGCACAGGATACAGGAAGGCCAGGTTCAACTGGCAGTTTCATGCCGGTGTCTTCTCTCCCGTTCTTCTAGTTACTGGCTTCATCATCGACTTAGCCAAGCAACCAGTCTCTCTTCCTTCCGTCTGACCCACCTCCCT